ATTGTTCAGAATATGAAATTTCAATGTCCAAAAGATAGAGGCAAACGCAAATGAAGATGGGAAAAGGAGGTAAAAAAAGAAGTGATACAGGCTGTGTGGAATGAGTGGAAATTTGTAAAAAAGCCAAAACTAAACCAACTCAACAAAATTATTATTTAGAATGTATTACCCGTTATCTAAAACGGAAAGAAAAAGAAAAGGCACCAGTCGGAAGTTTAACAGCCTTAGCCATTGATAAACAAAAAGAAATAGCCGAAGGATTAATAAAAGCCTGAGAAAAAGATTTAAATGTTCCTTCTTTGGCTAAATTTAATGAGGTAATGGATACTGTGGTTGGTTATAACGAGTTTAAGGACAAAATGAGGTTATATCTTGTTAATTTAGCCAAAAACATTAGACAAGGTAAAAAAACCGAACAGACTATTTATGTTCTTTTGGGTCCTCCTGGAATAGGTAAATCTTTTATCAGTGAGAAAGTAGCCGAAGGCATGGAAAGACCCTTAATTAATGTTGATTTAGGAGGTCGAAAAGATACCGGTATTTTGGAAGGGACTTCTCCTTCGGTAAAAGGGGCTTATCCTGGTCGGTTATGTCAAGGGTTAAGTGTTGGTAAACACCGAGGCTCAATCATTCTATTAGATGAGTTTGAGAAAGTGGCTGATGAAGGTTTGGCTATGATGTTAGGTAATGTCTTAGATATTAAGAAAAATAAAGACTGATACGACCAATTTTTAGGTTATAAAGTGGATTTAAGTGATTGTATTTTACTCTGCACAGCTAATTATGCTGACCAAGTGCCAGACTTCGTTCAAAATAGGGCTGAAATGGTCAATATTGAATTGGCTACTTATCAGCAGAGAGTAGGTTATGTGATGGGAATGCTAGGGAAGAAGTTAAAGAGTGATAAGGATACGGCTCATTATGCTAATCAGTTGACCGAGGAGTTTTGTAAGTATATTATAACCGAGGAGTGAGGTTATCGACAAACTAATGCTAATATTGAGAATGTGTTTAAAGTTTTAAATGCTTATGCTACTAAAAAACCAATTGGTTTAGATAATCCTATTAATAAGCCGTTTAGTGATTGAGAAGAGTTAAAAACCACCAAAAACCGATTTATTTTTAAGTATCAAGGAGGTCAAGTTTTGAGTTTAGTGAGAGTGAAAACTTACAATAAAGATAATCAAACGGTAATGAGTAAA